TAACATGAGACATAATATTTTCAAAGCGTATAATAAGGATGACTCGAGCACCTTCCCGGGTCGTCTTATTAACTTCGGCAAGTTTAGGGTCGACGCGAATTTGAAGAATGATGTCGGCGAGGGGAGGAGAAAGCAGTTTATGGGTCAAAATTCCACAATAGTGGAGAAGGTTATCATTTTCAAGTAGAGGAGTAGAAGCGATGGGATTGGAGTTCCACACTTGTATGCGACGGTCGAAGATTGGGTTAGCAGCAGGACGAGCAGGTTTCAGGGTCACCTCTGTGAGCCAGGGGGTGGGCGCCCAAGGGTAAGGCTGCGGGGGACGTACATACACAAACTGGTCTTTCCATCTTGGAACATTGGATGGTCGATCAGTAATAAAGCAAGCTTTATTCCGGCTTTTTAAATAAAGGTCGTCCGATTGTTTGGAAGCAAAATAGCAGTATACAAAAAAGTCTAAATCTACTCTACCCATGCGAACTATGGACAAAATAATAAAGGACGCTAATGTCCTAAAAGCGTTGGGGGTGATTTGGTTGAGAGGTAGGCCATATAAGCCGCACAGGTCGAGCAAGGCCGGGCAGATAGGGAAACAGAGGCCTAGGTCGAAATGGGCGCGGAAGAAGGTATAATAGCCCTCAGGAGGATTATCGAAGGTATCATCATCATCAGGAGTGCGAGCAGTCCCAGGATGACCAATTGCATCAAAGTCGAGACGGGAAGCGCTCGAAGACGGTTTAGATGACTTGGACCGCTTGGATGACTTAGGCTGAGAAGGTATGGTCGAAGAGTCTGGAGCACGAGAGGACAAAGAAACAAAGTCAACGGGATCACGGGCAGACAGGGGGATATGGTCCTGAGGATCATCCTCGTCCTTGATCTTGTCATCCTGACCGATAGCTCGACGAGCACGCTCGGCGGGAGGAGAAGGAGGGCGGATGGTGACCTCATCTTCGAGCTGGTCAACGAGATAGGTGGAGAGAGAGAGCAGTGGCCGTAGGGCTGTCACTAGTCATCGCAGGAGGAAGGGTGGAAATAGGCTCAGGCTGAAGGATTTTTTATACGGAATCGCTTGATAGGCTAAGAGTTGTAGAGGAAGAAGGGGGAGTCAAGTCCTTCCCGCTGAATCGATCATTTTCACTTGAAGTAGCAGAATCTGAGATAAAAGAAAAGGAAAATTATACTCAACTGAAAGAAAGAACAAGAGCAAAAAACAAAACGGGGAAGAACGCAGAAGAGAACAACGGGAAAGACGAATAACAGACGGGGTCGGAATCGAGAAGAGGTTCGAGGAAAAGAGGAAGAACCCAAAAATTTAAAGCTAATAAACACAAATTAAAAGTTAAAGAAGACTTACTCATGGCGAGCGGCGGAGAATTTGCAGAGAAGGGAAAGAATTCAAGGTTGCAGGGTGCTCGACGATTGCAGAAAGCTCTAGTGCGATGGAAGGCGACAGTGAAGAAAAGGAAAAAAATTCTCCCAAGTATGGATATTTATAAGGGCAAAGAATAAAGGGGGGGAATTGCCGACCGTAGGATCATAAGTAATGAAGGGCTGTGATCAGAGAGAATGCGAACGGACACCTACCTCGAACCGTAGGATTAAAGCAGGAAATCCAACGGCAGGAGGAGAAGGGGCGCGTAATTAAGGGCGGGACTCAAGACAACGCGAGCCACGAGGTTATCATTACTTCTGAGCAAACGAAAAGACGCATCCCAAAAAGGCGGACAAGTGGCGAAATTTGAAATTAAAAAAGCGCAGTGGCGGTTCGAAGAGAAAATAAGCGTGCAAAAGAAAGAAATGGGTGAGGTGGTCGAAAACAAAGAAGCAGAACCTCCTCGACATAGACCGAAGCTACTCTTAGATCGAGTCGTTAAGACTCGACCAGAGTGGGGGGACTAGATGATATGGGATATTATATACTAGACCGGTTCGCTGGGCTAACTGAAGAAAATAGGCCGGTTCGTCGGATTACCTAAATAAGAATGGGTCGATTGATATGATCGAGCAGGACCAAACACCTGCAATGGAGGACAGAGAGCAGACAACAGAGACTAATGAGATCAGAAGTGGTCGACAGATGCAAGTTACTCGAGGAGTTGGTAGAGGGAGGATGGTCGGATAGAGCATGGTCGTACAGAGTTGGTCGAACAACGGAGCTACAAGAGAATCTCCAACATGTGAAATGGAGGACACGTGGCGTTCTAAGAGTGGCTCATGGCCGCAACGAACTCTGCCATTCCCTGACAAATGGGACGCGTTTCCTGACATCAAGGACAGTGGAGGCGCGCGATTGTACGGACGAGCAGAGGACAGTTGGCCGAACTCGCCCCACTCGCGCGTGTAGAACAGGTAGCTCGCCCTTATAAATAGGGGCGAGAATCCTCACTTTGAACACAATCTCTCATACTCTCATATTCTTACTCATATACTTTCTCTCTCAAGATCTGACTTGAGCGTTGGAGGCTCTTCACCGGAAAACACCTCTGGTGTGGGAGTTTCGTGCAGGTTCCACGTTCAACCGACGAGGAGAACGAGCTTGAGGTGATTTCCAGCCGGTCGGGGTGCGAGACTTGTATTAATGTTCAATGTGTATTGCTTGAGATTTGATATGGTGCTTGAGATTTGATATGGTATCAGTCACGTTCGATCACCCTTTTCACTACTTCCGCTCATAGATTTTTCCTCGATTTGTTCGAATACAATCTTCACCTCTGAGATTTGTTCAATTTTTTTGTGATTTTCGCTTCTTTTTTTGCGAGTTTTTTTTAGGGTTTTCACCATCTGAAACCCGATTTGCGATTTCCTTTCATTTAGCGATCTAAATCTCCTAGATCTGTTTGATTTTCGCTTGATTCTGCATGGTGACCACTCTGAATCCCAACGATGATCCGTCCAGTCCGTTCTACCTCCACGCAAGCGACAATCTGGGAGCCCTCATCGTCGCTGAACTCCTCAGCGGCGAGAACTACGTCAGTTGGTCCCGCACTGTTGTCATGACTCTGAGCGTGATAAACAAAGGTGGATTTATCGACGGTACTCTGTTATCTCCTTCCCTTACTATTGACCCATCTATGTGTTGGGACATATGAGGATCTCGATAT